AATCCAAGAAACAAAAAATAAATCCAAAACAGAGACAAAGTGAACACAAGAGAACAAGGGAGGAGGGACGAGGTGACATGATGAACCAGCGAGTTGTAACTGGAGAATAAGGAGCTTAAATACTGGGAGGTTGATGGTGGGAACAATGGACCTGGGCTAATAAGCTAACTGATTGTAGGTGTGAGTAGTTGGAGCCAGAACCAGGCTCAGGATGGGGAAAGAGAAAGTGCCACGGGAAAGTGAGGGAGAGAATACAGGGGAACAGGAAATAATTCTAACACTTGGATTAAAGAAATATGATAAACTAGAGCAGCAGAAAATAACTTGGGAACAAGAAAAACAACTAGAATCACTAGGGAGAACAGAAGTAGAAAACAGGGCAAACTGAAGTAGAAAAATCAAAGGAACACCAAAAATGGCAAAAATCCACAACCAAACTCAAACACCCCCAGATCCTAAGACCAACCTCAATGGGGCAGGATATAAAATAATGTACATAAATAATTTGCAAATATAAATGTCACTCACTTTTATATAATTTTATGTACCACTTATGTTGGTGAAGAAGTATATTTCTAAGTATTTATTCTTCTTGGTAATTTGTTAATCAAAACACAAGATAAGAAACACTGCATAGTGTCATTACCATAACATTAGAATATGGTGCAGTTCAAAAGTGCAAGTAGATTACATTACACTATCTTCAGTCACCAATAGCAACTAAGAAAATTTACTTAGGTTTTCACAAATTTAGAGAAAAAGATGTAAATCAGAGAAATGCATGTCACAGAGATTATTGACAAAGAACTGAGAGGTCATGGGCAAAATCTTCCATTCTGACTTTACTTTGGATGCACATCCAGTCTTTGATTCATTCCTTTTAATCGTCTGCTAATGTTTTCACATTCTGAGAACTAATTATCCATGCTTTTCTTTGATCACCTAGTTGCCGCTGTGCATCTTAGCATACCTCCCCTAGAATGGTTGCAAGATGTACTAAATGATGCCTACGGGCTTCTGACAAATCCTACAGGTTTTCATAAGTTATTCCAATTTTGATGCAGAGACATTGACTTCAGGTTTTTGTTCATTTTTCCCACAGTGTAATTTAAAATTATTTTATTGACTTGAGGGGTTTTCACAGACGGGCACCATTGAATATCAAAAGGTTACTGCAGCCACATGTCTCTGATCTTTATGATAAATTGAAAACAAATGAAGATAGAGCCTTTAGTTCAGTGGTTCCTAGACTCCAGAATTCTTTGTTTGGACTTAAGATTGATGGACTATGTTGTTTCTTTTAAAAAACTGTTTTATTTAATGCGACTTATTATTTTCTCCTGTTTTTAGTGCATTGGTAGCTCTTGAAATGTTGCATTAGTTTTTAAAAGCACTTAGGACTATTCTAAAATGAGAACCAAGACCCTCCTGAACGACACTTGAACCCAAATCCAGGATAAAGAGCTTCAGTGAATTTGGTGTTGAAGGTGTAGAGGTGGATCAGTGTCTCTGAAGAGACTCTGTAGAAGGACAGAGTCCCAGCAGGACAGTCCACATACACAGCAACTCTGCCAGAGACAGAAGAGGAGAAGGAGGCATCAGGGATGAAGGCTTTTTTTTCACTATTGTGCCAAACAGTGTAACCATTATCTGAACAGATTAGACACCAGGAGTTATTATTAAATCCAAACCAGGAATCGTCATTGACTCCTTTTCTTTTGATTCTCCTGTAACTCAGTGATACATAGACTTTCCCACCCCACTCCACCTCCCAGTAACAGCGACCAGTCAGACCATCAGTGCACAGCAGCTGATAGGAATCAAATCTGTCTGGATGATCAGGATACGGCTGCTCCTCTGCCACACGTGTCACCTTCCTGTTTTCATCAGACAGTTTGAGGAATCTGTTCACAGTGTTTAGGTCGACTGTTAGTGGACAGGAATCTGAAAAACAGAACAAACGCAATGCAGTTACTGATGTGACTTTCTGAATTCACTGATGCAAAGATGAGACAATCTGATATGAATCATAAATGCCCTCACACTTCCTGAGACCTGGTGTCATCCATTTCTCTCCTGCAGGTTCCATGCTGTAAGAAAGAAGGTATTTTGATGGTATTAAAACTTTTCTGTTACCAGTGTCTAATATTTTACTGGTACTATAAGGTCATTTATAACATATGCCTTTTCCTTATTCTGTTGCATAAGCTGTTCAAATCCCAGCATTAATGATCCTAAACAAATAGCAAGAAATTAAAAAGGTATAGATAATTCATGTTTATGAATTAGATCAAATTTTTAGTCACAGCCCCGTTTTCAGATTTAAAAAGAAAAACTTATTAGTTATGGTGTGATGGACTGACAGCCTGTCCAGAGATAAGCACCAGCACCCCCAACCACCCTGCAAGGACGAGCATGCTAGATAATGGATACTAACTTTGATTGATACAACCAACAATCATGCTTCCACTTTGCAATCATGCATTGCTTTGTGTTTGTTAAAGTTTAAGCTGTTTAAATACCGTATTTTTCGGACTACAAGCTGCAATTTTTTCCCAACCCTTTTAACCATGTGGCTTATAGCCGGTGCAGCTTTTCTGTAGCTTTTTCTTCAACCACCAGGGGGCTCTTTAACAGGAAGTGAATCATTATAATTGCTTTTAGGTTTATCCTACACTCCAGATTGGTTTAGAAAGATGAACCAAACCTATCATTAATCTTTTTTGCCTTCTTTATCCAGAACTCTTCATTTGTCAGAGATCCTGAACACCTTCTGGTTTGCTGCCATATTTTGTACTGTGTCAATTCTGAATCTAGCATTAAGCAACAGCATAGCACTATGTGGTTGCAGGAAATGTTTCCTTACCTTATAGAGTCCAGTTTGAAGCTTGGATTCTTCAGTAGAGCTGTTAGACTCTTCATTCCTGAGTCTCCTGGATTATTGTAGCTGAGGTCCAGCTCCTTCAGGTGAGACGGGTTCACAGTCAGAGCTGAGGCCAGAGCAGCACAGCCTTCCTCTGTGATCAGGCAGCCTGAAAGTCTGCAGACACAAACACACAACACAGTTTTAAAAGAATGATCTAGATTCTATATTGTCAAAGTGACCCACTGGTTAGAAGTGTTGCAATGATTAGCTGGCATGCTAAGATTAGAGAATCGTGTCTGTTGAGCAGCAGTCTACATGCTGGCCTGTTGGCCTGACACATAGTAAACATATTTTCTATCTCCCAGTGTTACTATATAAAAATTAGAATGACAAAGTGGGGTTGTATTGGTAAAAACATTCTGTTAATTCAAAGTTACGTCTTGGTATATTTCCCATTCATCTCAACAGATTCTCTCCAATTGAATGGATCTTCTTGGGATTCATCCTGGAGCAGGCAGATGAAGACAAACCCAGAAAAGGTTTAAACGGGCCTCAACTGGCCAACTTCATCTTCTTGTAAACAGATGCAATGCTTACTATGTTTTGACAACTTCTACTGTCACTTCATTATAATGCAGTCAAACTGCTGTTACCCTCACCAGCCTCAAATCCACAAAAAAAAAAAAAAAAATCTTCATTTGATCCCAGAAGCAGAAAAATCTTCCAACTTGAACAAAAAAAAAAAAAAAAACAAAGCTCCCATTCTCACCCAACCTGATCCAACTAGACCAGTGATGGAAGTAGACTCAGACTCAGGAGGACAGGTCGGCCTTTGGCAAATCTCCCCTGTTGACAACACATAGACTCTCTACACTACTTTCTATAACACACTAGAAAGTAGTGTAGATTTCATCAATCTAGATCCGTGTTTCTCAACCCTGGTCCTCACTGCCCCCTGTCCTGCATGTTTTAGGTATTTCCCTTCTGCCACACACCTGAATTGTATCTCTGGGTGATTAACAGGCTTCTGCAGCACGTGATGGTCATGCATTCATTTGAATCAGCTGTTCTGGAGTAGAGGCACATCTAAAACTAGTTTTCATCTCTTGCCTTGATCTAAAAACTTGAAAACTCCAAACCAACATCTATGTTTATTTGACCAGAGTACCACATTTTGTTTCCATGTGTCATGTCATTCCCTATTATTGGTTCCAGCTGTCCCTCATTTCCTGATATCCCCCATATGTATTTAATGTGTGTCATCTGATTGTCCCTGGATCCTCTGTGTTCCTTTGTTGTGATTGTTGCATGGTGGTTTTTGTTGAGCTTGGCAGTGTGCAGAGCATCTTTGCATTTTGACCTCATTAAAACATTTTTCTCACTTCACCCTGGGTCTGACGGCTCTCATCCTCATGTCAACCCTCAGTTTCATGACAAATACTCAGTTTGATATTGCAGAGAGTCCTGGTGGTTATAAACTTC